TGCTCTGGTTTCGTTCGCTGTTGGGGGGCTCTGAGGTGCTTTCGGGTGGTCGTCCGTGCATCGATGGCGGCGGTTTCGGCATGGATGTTCCCGAATTGTTTGTTGCTCATGGTCGGTGGTCCAGTTGCGAAACGATGGGTTGACCTGCAAGGCGATTGTCGGGCCGCTCCCCAGGAGTGCAGACAGTGGCGGGGGCTGAGAGATTTGCTGGGTTTGTCGCCGCATTCCTGTCCTCCCAGGTCGATTTTTGATCCCTGGCCATTTGAATTGCGCGGCGGAGGCAGGGCCCTGGTGACGCGCCCGCCCCTGCCCGCCATGCTGCTCTCTGGACAGCCCTCGCGGCCGCAGTCGTTCGCCGAGGCAGGCGGCCGCCGCCGTTCGGATTGATTCCCTCGCGCGCAATTGTTGACCAGGCCACCAGGCCCTGCTTCGCCACCTAGGATTGGATCGGGAATCGCTGGGCTGACCCGTTTGCCAGCGTCGCCCTGGACCTTGCCCGCCCCGCCAAGAACCCGGCGAGGGGCCGGATTTGCGGGGCGGGGGCCAGAATGCGAGGCTCTCGGGGCGGGCACCCGCGCGCGCGGCTGGTTCCGGGGAGTGGGGCCCCGCCGGGCGCCCCGAGAGGGCTTGCGCAGGCGCCCCTCTCGCTCCCGCGCGCGGTTTGCGACTGTGCCCCGCTCGTAGGACGAGAAGCTCGATGCGTTGCCGGTGCCCCGCGCGGCGGAGACGGCCAGGCGCCTGGAGTTTCATCCCAGTGTCGCTTCGGCCCTGCCAAGGTCCGCGCCCGGGCGGCAGTGCAGGCCGATGGGGGCCAGCCCTGCGGCCCGCCCGCCCCTTCCCGCGGTCGCCCTTGCGCTCGCCGCCGCTGCTGCTGCCGCCGCCGGCCCCCGCCGCTGGAGGCGTTTCGGGGGGGTCGCGGGGGCGAAGCGGGGGCCGCTCGCCGAGACGGCAGGGGGCGCGACCTCGCGACGACGGGCGTTCGAGGTGGATCGGTCGGGGGGTCTGGGGATTAGGGCGGGCGGGTTGGCGGGGTCGGCCGAGCTCTCGACCTCGCCCCCCCCCCCCCCCCCGCAGAGGGAGTTTGGGCGTTTCGGATGGGGTGGCGGCGCGGGGCCGTCCGCGGCCGCCGAGCGCCGCGCTGCCGCCGCCCGTCGCTCGCTCGCCGCTGTTCGCGGGTCGCAGGAGGAGAGAGGCGGGGCCCCTCCACCCGCGGCGCCGCGCGGCGCGGCCCCGCCGACGGCGACTGCTCCTGGCGCCGCCGAGCGCTCCCGCTCGGCGGCCAGGCCGCCCGTGCACCGCCCGCGGCCTCCGCTGCGCCGCTGCCGCCGACGCGCGGGAGGGCGGCCCAGGGGGGAGGGGGCGGGGGCGGGGGGGGAGGTCGCGCAGGGTCGAGGGCGCGAGTTGCTCTTTCGACCGCCTTCTCACGTTCTGCCGCAGGTGCGGCGCCTGCCCCAGGAAGCGGGCCCGCCGCGATGGAACGGGTCGTTCAGGCGCGCCGCCAGGGCCGCGGCGGCGCAAGACACCCGCTGAGGAGGGCCGGGGCCGCCAGTGGGATCGCCTCATGGCGGGGCTCCACCTAATGACGGGGAAGCAATTGGGGTCAGGGACCGAGCCTCCTGCGCCCTCCTTGGATCGAGTGTGCTTTTGCTTGCTTTCTGTTTCGGTGATCTGGGGAGTGTCTGCTCTCGGGCGCCTGGTGACATCTGGGGCCTGCAAGCGGCCCGCGCGGGCCTGCTGGCGGCTGGCGCAAGCTGCGGTCAGTCTGCGCGACGGCTGAGCGTGCGCCCTCGACGCGCAACGCACGCGCGCGCACAAGCGTAAACACGCGCGCGCGCGCGAGCAGGAGGAGGAAAGAACGACGGCCGCCAGCGGGGCTCGACGGGAGGGGCTAGGAGCTCCCACGGTTTGCAGGTCAAGCTGGTGGAGGCGGAGTTCCTTCATATCGTCGAGCTGCCGAGTGGATCGAAGGTCGAGTTCGCAGAGACATTGAAGAGTGAGTGGAAGAAGCGGGAGTTCCGAAGCGCGCCGAGAAGTTCCTCGTGCGCCACGGGCTGAAAACCGTTCCCAAGACCAGGAATGCCAAGACAGAGAAGTTGTTTCGCATGTTAAGGGAAGCCCGGGGCGATGCGGAGTTGGTTCCGTCGCCAGAGGTACCCGAGTGGCTGAGTCTGTCTTCCTTTGGTGATGGCCAGTCGGCTTGTCTTCATGCGTACCTCATCCGTTGGACGATTGCTGCTCTGTTTCTGTGATTGTCGTATTCGTGGGCCCGTTCTGCAGGATGAGCTGGCGTGGACTCACGAGCCATTGCGTTCAGCATGGCATCTTGGGAAGGTGCGCTGAGGATCTGCCTCGCCCGTGCTGCGTCCAGATAGCGTTGCCGCGCGGGCCGGCGCAGTCTGCGAGATTGATGAAATATGGCGGCGCGGGGCCCCACCATCAGCAAAATTACTGCTGTGAGCACGGTGCAAGTCAACCGACGCGGACAGAGCGCGCGCGACTGGACAGCTCTGGGGCAGAGTGCGAGCATGGTAGATTTGTCTGGAACAATGGAGCCCCAGCTGTCCAATGTCGCAGGGGCGGGGCACACACACAGAGACACGCACACACACAAACACACACACACACGCACATACACACATACACACACCACACAGGCAGACAGACAGACAAATAGACAGACAGACAGACAGACAGACAGACAGACAGACAGACATATAGGCAGACAGACATATAGGCAGACAGACAGACAGACAGACAGACAGACAGACAGACAGGCAGGCAGGCAGGCAGGGAGACAGACATACATACAGAGACAGACGGACATACAGTGACAGACAGACAGACAGACAGACAGACAGACACACATACACACTGACATACACACAGACATACACACACGCACAACCACACACGCACACACATGACAAAGCGGCCTCGCCTATTTCCCAGCGGAGATGGTCGCATGGCGCCGCCGCGCTCATCTCGGCACACTTTACGCAGATAGTGCCCCAGAGGGAGCCACACCGATGGTATGAAGCTGCAAGGGCGCTGCACGCTCGCGAGGCACTCTGGAATCCGCGGCACTCAGCGCATGGCGCTGTTCTCTATGCGTCGTGCAGGGCTGTTCTGTAACACAAATAGTAGCGCGCGGCGATGTTTCTCGTACTCATGCTTCTTCCCAGGATCCCTCGGCCTCCTCTCTCTGCCTCCGTCCTCCAGCTCCGTGGCGCGTTCATCGTCCATTTCAATTTACGTTTCCAGTCGAGAGAGTGCGCGCGAATGGGGGACCCTGGATGTGGTCTGATATTTGTGCCAAAATGGGACCACGGTTTTTTCTTAGCCTGGCTAGTGAAGCCAAAGACTCCCCGTGCCCTGTGTCCAGTCATGGCACGATTCATCACTACTGTCATGTTTTGGCATCTTGTGGGGGTAGCCACCAGTAGGTGCATTACAATCGCCCTTGGTGACGTCGTCCCCTGTGATATTTTTTTTCCAAGCAGCTTCTGAAATAACTGCGTGGCATTCGCCGCGCCAGCCTTTTGCGCGCACATGTGCGCGCAACTCGAGCGACGGGCAGCCGCGAGGCCCCTCCCTCCGCGCGCTGCTCAGCGTCTTGCCGCGGTGTGCGGGCCATCGCGCGCGCGCGTCGCGCCTGCCGCCAGATTCGCAGCTGCGTGCCGCTGGTCGGGACAGCTTCACTTCATCTGCGCGCCGAGGCTCCGCCACACAGCAGAAGCGATCACGCATGCTGTCCGATGCTCCTCCCTGGGGCGCCACCCGCACGGCAGCGGGCCTCCTGGGCCTCTGCCGTTGAACGGGCCTCGATGTTCCGGGCTTCGTCGCGACGCCTGAGACCTGTCGGCGCTGGCTGTCGGCAGGCAGGCCCTCCGTAGATTGGACCGTGCGCAGTGGCTTCCAGCGTGTTCTGTGGATTCATGCGGCGCTGGCGCGCTGGCGACGCTGGCGAAGGCGTTCAAGGTTGAGGTCTGGCGCGGATGCACCGAGGGACGCGGTAACGCCATTGGGCCCAACGGGATTCAATCTGGAACGATCGGGGCCACGATCGATTCAAAGTTGAACGATCGGCGCGGTGTCAAAAACCTGCGCGCGCCGACGCCGCACGAACCTGTCGTAGGGGAGTCGGTGCGCCCACTTCACTCCGAGAGCGCCCCTTCCCGTCGCTCGACCGGCGTCTGATCTTTCTTGCGCCCGCCGACCAAAAAGTAGGAGAGTCGGGCGCGACCGTTTTCCCGCAAGCGCCCGTGCGCAGCACTCGCTTGGCCGCGGATCATGCCCGAGCGGCAGTAATCTTTTCTGTGGAACTATCCCAGGCGCGCCCAGGCGCGCCGCGAGCCGCAGCCGCAGCGCCCCGCGCCACGCTGCTTCCGCGCCGCCCGCCCGGGCCGGCGGCGCCAGCAGCAGCCGCAGCGCAGACAGGCCGCCCAGGCGGGCCCCTGGGACGCCACGTGGGCCGCCCCTGGGACGCCGCGTGGGACCGTCTTTCCGTGAGCGCCCGCGCGCAGTACACGCTTGGCCGTGGAGCAGGCCTCAGCGGCGACAATCGCGCCTCTGGCCACCCCGGGCTTGCGGAGGCGCCGACGGGTCCAGCTGTTCCACGCGCGCAGGGACTCGCAGCAAAGGGGGAGGGTGAGGAATCAAAGTGATGAGCAGGCTGTGGAGTAGAGGGGGAGGAGGAAGAGAAGAAGGGCTCGAGGAGAAGGTGGATGAAGATAAGGATAAGGGAAGACAGCTCTCCTTGTTGCTGCGGTGGGCTCGCCATCCAACCATTGTCAGCCATAGCAAGTCAATCGATGTATGCGTGCTGCTCTTTCTGGCGATTGCTGTTCTGCATCGCTCTTTCATTCATCGCCGCAGCCGGACGTTTGTACAGAAATCGGCCAGGCAGGTCTAGGATCAGTCTTTTGTGGGTGCATCATGTCCGGGGAAAGAGTGCTCATGCAAGTTGCGAGGAGCGCGCGGGCAACTCCAGCGCCCGTATCCGAGGCTCGAAGTGGAACTGCCAGACCAGAGGTTGGCGCGCAGGGTCCCGTGTTCCGTGGGGCGGCCGAGGGCGCGACCGGGCGCGATGGCGGGCGAGACGGAGGCGCCGCTGCCGTTCTATGCCAGCCGTGCTGCGGCACAGGACCCGGAAGACGACATGGCGCTTCCCGAAACTGGAATTCCCTCAAATTTCTGCTTGCGGAAGATCGAGGATTACCACCTGCTGGATTTCAAGGAGCGTCTCAACACCAGTTCCTACGTCAACGTGGTCTTTGAGCCCGACGAGGAGAAGGTGGCCCTGATGGGCTTGAAGGTCAACCTGGCGGACCAGACTGTCTACCCAGAGTCCTTCAAGATGCACAACGATGTGGTCAACATGATCGCCAAACTGTGGAATTGCCCCAAGCCCGCAGACTTTGACAAGTACGGCTGCTACGCAGGTGCCGGCACAGTCGGCTCCACCGAGGCATGCTTGCTCTCAGGGTTGACTCTGAAGTTCCGTTGGCGCGCGTGGTACGCTAAGAAGCATGGCTTGAACGCAGACGAGGTGCGCGGCGTGTATCCAAATATCGTGATCACGACCATGTTCCAGGCTGCATGGGAGAAGCTCTTCAAGTACATGGACATTCAGCCGCGCTTTGTCAAGCCGAGCTGGAAGAGTTTTACATTGGATCCCGCCGCCCTCAAGGATGCCATCGACGAGAAGACCATTGGCGTCGTTTGCATCATGGGCAACCACTACGGGGGGCAGTATGACCCAGTCTGGCAGGTGAGCGTTTTTTGTTCCTGCCTGGCGTAACGCTCGATATCTAGGGCAAGCCCCCCCCCCACGGGTTAAGCTGGCGATCGTACTGGGCGGGGAGGCCTGGACCCCCCCCCTGCATGCTGGGCGGCGGACAGTGCTCACAGGCATGGCGTGGTGCTGAAAGGCATGCTTTGGTGCGTGCTCATGAACGTGTTGTGGCGCTCGCAGGCTCCCCCTGTTGCGGCGCCGAGCTCACGGGCATGGCGTGGTGCCGAAAGGCATGTTTCGGTGTTCACATAAGTGTTGTGCGTGTTGTGGCGCTTGCAGGCTGTTGCGGCGCGCGCAGGTCAGGCGGACTCACTGCCATTGTGCCCTGCTCGGAGGGCGGCGGGTCGGGGGACTGTCGATTAAGAACACGTTGGCGCACGTGGGCCCCAAATAGTTATTTAATCGCTTCGCTCATTCCGCCGGCCCGTATTGGTGCACGGCTGTCGAGTGCCCGTGTGATCGTTGTCAGTGGGGTGCTGCTGGGTCGTTTCTTTGTTTATGGATGGTTGGCTTTGGGTGATTTCGCAGGCGGGAACCATTCTTTGCCCGCCTGAACCTTCTGTTTGGGAAGGTGGCGGCTCGTGAATACGATCGCAGGGAACAAGACAATATTCTGCACTTTCCTTTTTGCATTCTTCCGGCCCCTTGTCGCATTTTGGGGCCTCTTGGGGGCCTCTTGGAGCCTCCAGGAGGCCTCTTGGAGCGGAAGGCTCGGATTTTCGGTTCGTGGTCTCCATCTGGGGCTCTCTGGGGGCCCTCTTGGGGTCCTTTTGGACCGTCTTGGGCGCCTCTTGGGCTGTCGTGGGGCCCTCTTGGACGGTCGTGGGCCTCTCTTGGAGGCCTCTTGGGCCGTCTTGGGGTGGTCTTGGAGGCTTCTTGGGCCGTCTTGGAGCGTCGGAAAGGCGAAAAGGCGAGGAAGCCCCAAACCTTGAAAACCCAATGGGAATCAATGGCGCTCTGAGGCTTCGTGGACGTTCATGGGGATCTCGTTGGATGCCTCTCGAGGGCTTCTTGGAGACTCTCGGGGGTCGTTGTCGAGCCTCTTGGGGTCTCTTTCGGGCCCCTTGTCGCCTTTTGGGGCCTCTTGGGGGCCTCTTGGAGCCTCCAGGAGGCCTCTTGGAGCGGAAGGCTCGGATTCTCGGCTCGTGGTCTCCATGTTGAGCCCCTTTGGGGGCCCTCTCGGGGTCCTTTCGGACCGTCTTGGGCGCCTCTTGGGCTGTCGTGGGGCTCTCTTGGACGGTCGTGGGCCTCTCTTGGAGGCTTCTTGGGCCGTCTTGGGGTGGTCTTGGAAGCTTCTTGGGCCGTCTTGGAGCGTCGGAAAGGCGAAAAGGCGAGGAAGCCCCAAACCTTGAAAAACCCAGTGGGAATCAATGGTTTTGGCGCTCTGAGGCTTCGTGGACGTTCATTGGGATCTCGTTGGATGCCTCTCGAGGGCTTCTTGGAGACTCTCGGGGGTCGTTGTCGAGCCTCTTGGGGTCTCTTTCGGGCCCCTTGTCGCCCCTTTGGGGCCTCTTGGGGGCCTCTTGGAGCCTCCAGGAGGCCTCTTGGAGCGGAAGGCTCGGATTCTCGGCTCGTGGTCTCCATGTTGGGCTCCTCTTGGGGCCCTCTTGGGGTCCTTTTGGACCGTCTTGGGCGCCTCTTGGGCTGTCGTGGGGCTCTCTTGGACGGTTGTGGGCCTCTCTCGGAGGCCTCTTGGGCCGTCTTGGGGTGGTCTTGGAAGCTTCTTGGGCCGTCTTGGAGCGTCGGAAAGGCGAAAAGGCGAGGAAGCCCCAAACCTTGAAAAACCCAGTTGGAGTCAATGGTTTGGGCGCTCTGAGGCTTCGTGGACGTTCATGGGGATCTCGTTGGATGCCTCTCGAGGGCTTCTTGGAGACTCTCGGGGGTCGTTGTCGAGCCTCTTGGGGTCTCTTTCGGGCCCCTTGTCGCCTTTGGGGGCCTCTTGGGGGCCTCTTGGAGCCTCCAGGAGGCCTCTTGGAGCGGAAGGCTCGGATTCTCGGCTCGTGGCCTCCATGTTGGGCCCCTTTTGGGGCCCTCTTGGGGTCCTTTTGGACCGTCTTGGGCGCCTCTTGGGCTGTCGTGGGGCCCTCTTGGGCGGTCTTGGGGCTCTCTTGGAGGCCTCTTGGGTCGTCTTGGGGTGGTCTTGGAAGCTTCTTGAGCCGTCTTGGAGCGTCGGAAAGGCGAAAAGGCGAGGAAGCCAAAAGCCTTGATAAACCAAATGGGAATCAATGATTTTGGCCTCTTGGGGCTCTCTTGGAAAGGGTCGGGGCTTTCTTGGGACGTCTTGGAAGCTTCTTGGGCCGTCTTGAGGCCGTGCTGGGCGTCTTGGGCCGACCGTTCGGTGATTCGGAACGGAACCCTCTTGGACCGTCTTGGAAGCCTGTTGGGGCCCTCTTGGCGCGCTCCGGGGAGCGTGGAAGGCCGCACCCAGGAGGAAAACCGTCTCTGACCCGAGTTTGCCGGGAGTGTCCCGGGACCTTGCCGGGGTACTTTCCGGCCAGGGACCCCCAGGGGCCGCTCCGCGCGCGCGAAGTATAGAGTTATTGTTAACCATTTACCGGAGATCTTAGCACGCCTCTGGCCCGTTGGGCCGGCGAATTCGTTTTATTTGACGCGGAGGGCACGCGATGCAACCTGTGCGGTGCTCCCGGTGCTACCAATGTCGGCACGAGTGCAAGTTTACGCAGGGAGCACGAGCGCCTGAATGCAAGCGTTGTTTTGGGAAGTCCACGGCGCTGGAGCTTTCGACCCCATCGTGAGGCTCCTGCTGTTCCTCCTGTTGCTGCTCCTGCTGCTCCTTCTGCTGCTCCCCCTCCCGCTCCGTATTCCCCTCCCTTAACGAAGACCGCCAGGGACCGTTGAAAGAGGAGAGGAAGAGGACAAGGAGGAGGAGGAGGTACAGGAGGAGGAAGAGGAGGAGGTGGAGGAAGAGGAGATGAATGACGAGTCATGAAGGCCTCCGTGGTCTGTGACGAGCCCCGCAATGAGGCTCGCAAGCTACTAATGTGCTCGTTGGTACGTTTGGCGTTCTGGTGTACAAAGGTGTTGTGGTGCACGGAGGCATTGTGGCGTGCGTAGGCGTTGCGGTACACATGGCTGCTGTGGTGTACACAGGCGCTGTGGTGTACACCAGCGCTCTGGTGCACGCAGTCAACGAGGTGTACGCAGGCGCTGTTGCGCACACGGCAGCTGCAGTTTACACAGGCACTGCGGCGTACATAGGCGACGTGGTGTTGCGGTGCACGCGGTAGTCGTGGCGTACGGAGGCATTGCGGTGTACTCAGGCGGAGGTGTGTTGCACGCAGGCATTGGGCATTGTCGTGTGCGCAGGGTTTGTGGTGCACACGGGCGATTGATGCGCCGGTGGCTCCGACGCACCCTGGCAGGTGTCCGCCGCGGCAGCCGTTACCGTTCCCCTCCCGCCCGACCCCCCCCCCCACGGGTAACGATTGTTACCCTGGAGGGAAGAAAAGCTGACCAGGTCAACGATGCGGTCGAGACGCTGAATTCCGAGAGGGGGCTGCAGGTCGGCATCCATGTCGATGCGGCTTCTGGCGGCTTCATCGCACCGTTCCAGGAAGGGCTTCCGCCCTGGGATTTTCGCCTGAAGAACGTTCTGTCTATCTCGGCCAGCGGCCACAAGTTCGGCAACTCCTGCTGTGGAACTGGCTGGGTGGTGTGGCGGCAGCGCGAAGGCCTCTCCGACGCAGTGGCGATCAATGTGTCGTATTTGGGCGGTAGCGCGGATTCCTACACGCTCAACTTCTCCCGCCCGGCCCAGGGCGTGTACGTACAATTCTACAAGCTGTTGCGACTAGGCCGAGCTGGCTACCAGAGCCAGGTCGACAACCAGCTTGCTGTCGCGAAATATATTCGAGATTGCCTTCAAGCCATGGTGCGCAATGGGAAGAGTCTTTTCACCATCATGGACGCTGTTGGGCAGAGCACCCAGAAGCATTGCTTGCCTGTGGTGACAGCCATGTTCAATCCCGAGCTCGGTCTTGGCTACGACGAGATCGATCTCCAGCACGTCGTCTCGCAGGGGCATTGGTACGTCAGTGGCTACAGAATGTCCATGCACCACCCTCTCACAGAGGAGGTCATGCCAATCTTCCAGGACAAACCTGTCGAGGCAGCCATGTTCCGGGTGGTCGTGAAGAACAATCTGACGAAGAGCATGGCCAAAAATTTGGTGAAGGAGATTCAGGCCGCGATCGAGTTCCTTGACAGCCACCCTACGGGCGATGGCGTCAAGCATAAGAAGGCTAAAAGTATGAAGCCTTCCAAGGACGCCTGCTGAGAGATGGCCCTGGCGATGCAGAGCTCGCCCGACATGGGTCTCGGCGCTGACGGGCGATCTTCCCCCCGAAACAGAGTGGGGATCATGGTCAGTCGCCGTCTGGCAAGGGGCCCTCGCCAGAACCTCCTCCCTCCCCATGTTCTCGCCCGTCGTTCACGTCCATGCAGTTTTGTCATGCTCTAGAACTTTTTGTTTGATACATTGCTGGATGTGTTCGAAGTGCGCAGCCCACCATCGGTTTACTAGCATGGCTCCCTCGTGTGGCAGGACGGGAATGTGCCCGCTTCTACAGGAGCCGCTTCGGTTTCGCGAGGGCCGTAGAAAACAGCTCGGCGCCACTCTTTTCTTGTGCGCTGGCCTTTTCGCCGTCCGTCGTTCGCTGTGTATGCATTGCCTCCTTCGCCATCCTCCTCAGTTTGTGCTGTCTTCCCCGTCCGTTCCATCCGCCGTCGGGTCCTCTCTGCCCCTGTCTGCTCCTCTGTCCTTCCTTGTCTTGTCCCCCCCCCGCACACACACAGCGCGCTTCTCTCTTCACGGCCGGTTGCCGATCTGGTCGCTCCATGCTCGGAACACGTCTGAAGAAGTACATCTTGTTCGCTTATGGCTCTTCCAGAGCTCGCTGGACCTGGTTGGAAGTTGCAACCGTCATCCCTGCAATATGTACTGCGTATTGCCCATGGGTCAGGTACATCAGGTATGAGCAGCACGTCCCTGAGCTGGGTAAGACGATCTTCAGCGTGCTAGTGTATCGCACGAGTTCTTAGTCCAGCGGGCAGGGCTGAAGCACACAAGCGTGCACACATGCGCATGTATGCACATAGGCCAACTTGTTCTCCAAGCGGTGCTGGCATTTGGGGGCTCTCCCTCCTGTTCCCGAAGGGGACTGGCTGAGTCCGCCGAGGTCGCGCCACGCTGCCGCCCGCGGGCGCCTCGTGGGCGCCCCCGCGCGCTGCATGGGTCCGCCGAAGTTTCGCCGCGCTGCCGCCCGTGGGCGCCTCGTGGGCGCCCCGTGCGCCGGGTGGTCCGCCGAGCTGTTTTGGACGCTGGGCGCAGTTGGCGGCGAGCAGAAGCGGGTATGGGGGACGGGGGAAGGCTCCTTCGAGGGAGGCTGCTTCTTGGAAGGCGCCGGCCTTACATCTACAGAGAAGGCCCGCACCTTCTAAGAAGCAGGGTTGTCGTTGGCCCACCCGGCCTGGGCGGACATGTGTGAAGCGACTCGTAGAGCTTCAGTTAGAGAATAATGCCTCGGGGAGCTCCTCGGAGTCGATGAGCTGGAGGAATTCCGGCGCGGGGTGGTGTTTTAGGCGCTGGGCGCTGGCTCCAGGACGTGCCGTCGGCCTCCTCTCGGCGGCGGTCGCAAGCATGGATCAGGAGGGGCGTGGATCAGCGGCGGGCCCCGTTTCCAGGGGAAATCGCGGATTTCCGCCGCCGAGCGAGGCGGCGTCGGACGCATTTTGGGGAGGGCACCTCTCCCGATCCATGGATTTGGCGACCGCGCGCCAAATCCATGGATCGCTAATCCATGTTTGCGCGCCCCCGACTCTCGGCGGCGAGCGAGTGGGGGAAGTAAGAAGGAGAAGGCCTTCTCAGAAGGCGGCGGGACTTCTCAGGAGCCCTCGCGCCTGCTTAGAAGTTTTTTCTGTGTCTTCGGGGAAGCAGTGGAAAGCTTTCAGGAGGCCGGGGGACTTCCGAGCCTTCTCGGAAGGCCCGCCCCTTCTCACTTCCCCCCCTCGCTCGCCGCCGATCTTCATTATTTGACGTCCTCTGCCTGGCATTGCTTCGCCGCAGATCCAAGGATGACCCTTTTGCGAGCGGTCACGCCTTCGTCGACGCATGTTGGCTCATCGTAGGGCGACCAGTGGTTTGGAGATTGGCACGGGTTACCGCTGCACGTTCGTCCCCGCGCAGCTCTGATTATATTGGGGATGCAATGCTTCAGCTTTCATCAGGCTCCGGAGACTCATTTGGACTTCTCCAGATTTCGTCTTGCAACTTTAGCCAGTCTCCTATAAGGCTTCTTCCACCCCCTCCGCACCCCGTGCCACTCCAGATCGGACCCAGGTCCCGCCCAGACGGTTAGCAGGGGTACAGAAATTTGACGAGTGACACAGAGTACGTGTAAAGTCAGGTTTTGAGACAGAAGGCTCTCCCTGCACTTGCGGCACCTTGCCGGGAAAGTTCTGCCCACCAGGAATTACTTCTGGTGGTAACGTCTGCAGGGCTCACGGGACAGCCACCGCTTCGTGGCTCCGGCGGGGGGCAGGGGGTGGGAGGCAATTGCAGTCGGGATTCTGAAACAAGGGCAACTTTGGGCTCAGCATGGGGCTGCGATGTGCTGGCCAGACGTCAGTTTCAGCTCGGGGAGCCTCTTCGTGGCCGAGATTCGTCGGGGTGCTGAAACAAGGGCAACGTTGGGCTCAGCATGTGGCTCCGGTGTGCTGGCCGTTCATCAGTTTCAGGTCGGGGAACCTCTTCGTGGCCGAGGCTCGGCAGGGCCAGAAAGAGAACCCTGCGTTCTTTGTTCGGCGTTCCGTATGACGGCGTGATGGTTGCACAGGAGGAGGAGGAGGAGGAGGAGGAGGAGGAGGAGGAGGAGGAGATGGAGGAGGAGGAAGAGGAGGAGGAGGAGGAGGAGGAGGAGCAGAAGGAGGAATATAATGAGGTTCAAAGGAGGAGGAGGAGGTTAAGAGGAGGAGGAGGAGGAGGAGGAGGAGGAGGAGGAGGAGGAGGAGGAGGAGGGGGGCAGGTGAGGGGATGATGCAGCAATGGTTTGCATGCGGCGCTTGTTCGTAGCGAGGTGGGCGTCTTTCCACAGGCACGCGGAGTGCGAACGGAATGCTGGCGAGGGCGAGCCGGCACCGCAGTGGTGCATGCGTGCGCGTCGCGAAGCCGTGCTCAACAGTGAGAGTTAGAAGACACCGTAACAGTCGGCAGCGAGCAAGGGGGGGAACTGAGAAGGAGAATGCCTTCTCAGAAGGCGGCGAGGGGGGAAGTGATAAGGAGCAGGCCTTCTCAGAAGCCCTCGCGCCTGCCGAGAAGTCTTCTGTATCGTCGGGGCAGGCTCGGACAACTTTGCAGAAGGCTGGAGGCCTTCCGAGCCCTCTGAGAAGGCCCGCCCCTTCTCACTTCCCCCCCTCGCTCGCCGCCGAAGTGTGTTTGCAGGCGCGCGCGGAAGACGAGCGAGACGCTGGTCGCGCACGGGAGGGGCGGGGGTCCCGGCCCAGAGGCGACGTGGCTCGCGCGGTACAAGCGCCTGTACCCTTTGCCCACGCAGGCTCAGGGGTGAGGCCGGGCGCGCGGGCTCGGCACAGGCGCGCAGCAAGGGTGCAGCGGCGGCGGGGGCGGCGACGACGTCGACGTCGTCGACGTCGTCGTCGTCGTCGTGGACGATGACGTCGCCGTCGTCGTTGTCGTCGTCGTCGTCGTCGTCGTCGTCGTCGTGGACGATGTCGGGGCTGGTCGTCTCGGGAGGTTCCTGTCGCCACGGCCCGACTCGGCTCGGGAAGCGCGGCCGGGATGGGGGCTGGGACGGGCCCGGGAGATTGGTCCTCGGCAGATGTTGGTCGGGGGCAGGGCGGGCGAGGCGGTCTCTTCTTTGGGAGAGCAGGGCCCTTCTCGGCAGGGCCCTTCCTCAGCCCCAGAAGCGTCCCAGGCGGCTTCTCGCAAGGCATGGAGGCTTCAGAGGGGGCCAGGCCGCCCACCTCCTCCTCCTCCTCCTCCTCCTCCTCCTCCTCCTCCTCCTCCTCCTCCTCCTCCCCCTGCCCTGCCCCGCCCCTCCGCATGCCGCCGGCGGGCCCCCGAAGAGCGCTGGCCCCGGCATGCGTGGGCAAAAAAGCGCCGGCGGGCGAGCAGGATCTCGACGGCTGCCCCTGGATCGATCGACGCAGGGGGCCTGCTGGGGGAGGCCGAGGCGGAGTCGGGGGAGGAGGAGACGTGGGGGTGAGGGGGATCAGGGGAGGGGAGGAGGAGGAGGAGGAGAAGGAGGAAGAGTAGGAGTAGGAGTAGGAGTAGGAGTAGGAGTCAAGCTAGCCAGCTCGAGCGAGTCAAGCATGGCATGCCCAGTCCCACCCGCCCTCCCACAACATAAGAAGCAAAGCTGGCACAACTGGGGGCCGAAGTCACACCGGCCAGCCGGTTTGGTACAGCTGATGCGGCCGCGATGGCGGTTGCCGACGGGAACTGGCGAGCGCGTGATGAATGCCGCGCACGCATTGCCAGACGAGTCGAGAATGGCCTGGTACACCGCAGGAAGCCAGAGGTGGCCGGAGGAAGCCCGACGGTCTGACAGGACACCCCAAAGCATTTTTGTGAAAAAGCATTGGGTTTTTGATGTTTTTATGTTGAAATGCTTGCAAACACACGGTGTTCGGTAGGATTCTGACATGAACGCGCGAGTGTGCTCTTTGTGGTATTTTTTGCACAGGATTCGCGGCCTGGGTGCATGACAGAGCATCGCGAGTGCACCGCGCGATGACGTGAAATCGCTGGATTTGACAGAATTCTTAAGATTCCTATGGTTTTCCTATGATTTCAGCAAGAGAGCCCGGGCGGGAAATTTGTACAATTTTTGTGAAAAAGCATTGGGTGTTTGATGTTTTTATGTTGAAATGCTTGCAAACACACTGTGTTCGGTAGGATTCTGACATGAACGCGCGCGTGTGCTCTTTGCTTTTTTTTTGCAATGGATTATCGCCGTGGACGACAGGACGTCCATGTCGAGAGGAAAAAATAAGAAAAATGTTGATTTTATATTGTTTTTTAAAAGGTTAGGATGGGACCCCCCGGATGCGGCCCCTAATGGCCGGCCTGAGGGGGGAGTAGGAGTATATTCTAATAAGGAATAAGGATAGGAGTAGGAGTCAAGCTAGCCAGCTCGAGCGAGTCAAGCATGGCATGCCCAGTCCCACCCGCCCTCCCACAACATAAGAAGCAAAGCTGGCACAACTGGGGGCCGAAGTCACACCGGCCAGCCGGTTTGGTACAGCTGATGCGGCCGCGATGGCGGTTGCCGACGGGAACTGGCGAGCGCGTGTTGAATGCCGCGCACGCATTGCCAGACGAGTCGAGAATGGCCCGGTACACCGCAGGAAGCCAGAGGTGGCCGGAGGAAGCCCGACGGTCTGACAGGACACCCCAAAGCATTTTTGTGAAAAAGCATTGGGTTTTTGATGTTTTTATGTTGAAATGCTTGCAAACACACGGTGTTCGGTAGGATTCTGACATGAACGCGCGAGTGTGCTCTTTGTGGCATTTTTTGCACAGGATTCGCGGCCTGGGTCCATGACAGAGCATCGCGAGTGCACCGCGCGATGACGTGAAATCGCTGGATTTGACCGAATTCTTAAGATTCCTATGGTTTTCCTATGATTTCAGCAAGAGAGCCCGGGCGGGAAATTTGTACAATTTTTGTGAAAAAGCATTGGGTTTTTGATGTTTTTATG